GAGGGCTCCACATTGACTTCAGAGGGCCCCAAGCTGGTCTCAGTGGCCAGTGGGCCTCAAACTGACTTCAGAAGGCCCCACGCCGCTGGGCTTAGAAGACCCCAAACTGGACATAGACAGCCCTACACTGAACATGAGGGTCCCACACTGGCCTTAGAAGGCCCCACAATGGACTTAGAGAGCCCCACGCTGACCTTAGAGGGCTCCACGGCTGGCCTTAGAGGGCTGCGCGCTGGCTCCTTAGGGTTCCACGCCAGCGTCAAAGGGTCCCACCCACGCCCAAGTCTAAGCTTCTCGAGGACCGCCGAAGCGGCCTCTGAGTGCCCCCACGCTAGCCTCTGGGGCTCGGCCTCAGCTTCTGAGGGCCCTGAGACGGCCTATGAGGGCCCTACGCCGGCCTCTGAGGGCCATCAAATGGTAAAATTAAGATAGTTTGACGTAGTTGACTTTATTTAATGACTTAATGACGTAATGACTTTATTTAAGTTTGGGCCAGTACTTCGGATAAGGCCCTGAAGGTCGTTTCTCTTGGGACACCCAAGCATGCACGTACCCAGGATTTCGCCCAGGAGGGGTCAACCTGCTCTCGAAGGGGCCCCGGGTTACCTGGGGGCCACTGACGACCCAGGCAGGGACGTATCCAGAACATTTCGATGGGGGGGATTGGGCACAGTGGGTCCGGTCCCCCTTGCGGACGGGTCCCCTCTGTCTGTCTGTCTCACTGTCTGCCTGTCTGTCTGTCTGTCTAAGCCCTGAGAAAATGTGGAGAATTGGCAGATAAAGTATCATTTTGCCTGAGCAATGTGCTTAAAATGCACGGTCTTTTATGAAGAAGCGAAGCGAGCGAGCCCGTCAGAGTCGCCGGTGTTGGTCCCTCAGATTTGTCTGCGGAAGGCCGTCAGATGTGCTGGTGTGGGGTCCACACAGGCGCCGGTTGTGGGGCCTTAGGGCTTAGAGACGCTGGTAGGGGCCGTCATAGGCATGTATGGGGCCCTGAAAGTTACTAGTGGCCCTTCATAGGGTGGCAAGGGAACCTCAGATGCCGGTAAGAGGCCCTCAGAGTCGCTAGTAAGTGACCGTTAGATGCGCTGGTATAGGGCCCTCGCAGGCGCTGGTGAGCGGGCCTTCAGAGCCGCCGATGTAGGCCGTTAAGAGGCGCTGGTGTGGGTCCCTTAGAAGTGGCGGTGAGGGCCCTCCCAGGCGCCATTCTGAGGGCCCTCAGAAACACTGGTGTGGGCCGTGGGGGCATAACAAACATGTGTGGGGCCCTTACAGCTGATCTCTCATTAGCCTTCAAGGACCCTCAGAGACCGGCAAGGTCCTTCAGAACCTGGGGTGGGGCCCTTCTGGAGATAAGTGTGGCTACATAAGAGCCCATGACGTGTCCTCAAAAGCCCCGTGGTGTCCTTTCACTCCTTTCCAGTTGAAGCGTGACCAGCGCGGACCCTCTGATGTCAATTGGCACCGTAGGGCCCCTCGGGCCCGAGGTGACCCTAAACCATATAACGGACACGTGTCCCCTCGCCCCCTGGCTATGCCATTGAATCCAAGTGATCAGGGGCCCTTTAGGTAATCAGGGGCCTCTCAGGTGACTGCAGGGGCTTTTCAATTGACCAGGGGCCCACCAGGTTACTGTAACCAGGGGACCCTCTGATAATCAGGGGCCGGTTATACCAGGGGCTCCTCGGGCAACTAAGGGCCTTCATGTGACTGCAGGAGGTACTCCCGGGTAAACATGGCCCCTCAGGTGACCAGGGCTTCTTCAAATGACTGGCCAGGGGCCATCCAGGGGTCAGTGGCCCATGCGTAACTAGGGGCCCCTCAGATAACCAGGGGCCCCTCAGGTAACCAGAGGCCCCTCGGGTAACCAGGGGCCCCTCAGGTAACCAGGGGCTCTCGTAACCAGGGGTCCCTTACCAGGAGTCATTCAGATAACCAGGGGTCCCTCAGGTAACCAGGGGTCCCGTGACCACGGCCCCTCAGGTAACCAGGGCCCCTCAGATAAACAGGGGCCCCTCGGATAGCCAGGGGTCCCTTAGACAACCAGGAACCTCTCAGACAACCAGGGGCCCCTCAGATAACCAGGGGCCCCTCAGGTAACTAGGGGCTCGTCAGATAACCATGGACTCCTCAGGTGACCAAGGGGACCCTCAGGTAACCAGGGGCCCCTCAGATAGCCAGGGGCTCTCAGGTAGTTAGGGGCCCTCTGTGTTCGTCACTGTGATAAATATCGCTCTTTGATATTAGTTTTTCTTCCGAGTAAAAGACGTTCTGTCTGGTACTGGAATTAAGACAGGGAGACCCAAAACGCCTTCGTCACGCTGGTCCCCCCGAGTTATCCTTGGACCTCAGGGGCCCCCGAGGCCCCCTTGGGTACGTCACTGCACTCAAGTGACCCAAAGGGCCCACTTGCATGTCTGATCCCAAAGGGGGAGGCCATGGCCTCTTGGCCTCCCCCCTGGATACGCCACTGGTCCACTGCTATCAGTGATTGAGTACCTTGATATTTGGCATTTCTTATTAATTTGAATGTATTCTCTATCCATATGTCCTGATAGTAAGTGACAATACTCTGCCAATATGTTTCCATGGTTTTCACATTCATTTTCCAGTCCTTTACATAACATCACAATTTATAATCAACAAAACTCAACTCCTTCATTACTTCACAACACTGACAGCATGACAGACTGACAGTCAACTATTGTGTGGGTGAATGCTGAAACAGGATAGCCACTTTTCTGACTGGCTCGCTCATATGAAATAAGATAAAAATGATCCTTTATATCATTTCCATCTGGAGGATCGGAGTCAACGGAAAAGGAAGGCCACTTTCAAGCCTCAAGGTCTAGGCCGCGAGACGCCAGTCGGCAGTCACCACCAAATTTATAATAGATTAATTCATAATTATACTTTGAGACCCTTAGGTCACTGGATCAGCATCACATTTTGAGTTTCAATATAGTAAATGTTTTTATTTGTATGATGTGAAATATTTTCCTGAATCAGAATTTAATCATCCCTAGGTACCTACCTGGTAGAGGTTTTGGATTTAATGCTCATTGTTGGTGTGCAGTCAGGATTTTTTGATAGGTCCAGATAGGGAATCCTGAGCAATTTTATAGTAAAGTGGTCTCCTTATAATCACCACACATTTTATCAAAAGCATTTGCAGAATTCATTCAATGAAGAATTTTATCAATGTTGCACCCATTTCTTAGACGACCTAGGCTGCATCTTTTTTTAGTTCCTGTTGTATGACATATTTTCCGTTTTGTTCCACTGCATAAAGAAAAAATCGTTTGAGATCACCAAACAGCTTTTCTTTTTCTGGCAGGTCTGCACAACCAAGCGGTCGCTGGCGAGGACGTCGGCCGTCTCTGTGGGTAAGGTCATCTGCTCAGCCTTTGTGGAGATCAGCAAGACGTCACTAAGATGAAGACTTCGCTGGAGCAGAAGCCGCTGACCCGTGTCCGATCGGGCAGGTCATGCTCGACGGCACGAGCCACAACTCGAACGACTCGGTGACATCAACAACATGGTGGAGCAGGTGAATGAGTTTGGCGACGTGTTGTGCGACTGCAAGAAGGGTTGTCTGCGTGTTCTGGCCGGCGGAGCGGCGACGCTGCGCAGTCTGTGCTGGCGGTGAGCAGCTGGCCGTGGTGACCGCGCGCGCCCACATGCGCCGACAACCTGTGCGGCTTCGACGGCCCGGGACAGCCCGATGCCGCCCACTATGCGACGCCGACCGCGCACTGTCCGCACGGCCACATGGAGGTGTGCCCGCGCCTTTTGCCCGCACGCCGCTACCTCGCAGCTGGTCTGCAACCACGCCGTCGCCGCCTGTAGCCCGATAAAAAACGGCTGTCTGATAATGCCGCGTGTTCTTTGTGATGTTGCTACTGTGATCGTTGCTACTGCTGGTCTGAGACTCGATGTTTCCATTCGTCTTTTACATGTTAAGGATTTGATAATGATAAGCTTAGTCCGAGCTTAGGTCGTTTATATCATTTGTTATATGGCATATTTTGGATCAAAGCAGTACGACACTGCCTCCTGCTTTTGTGATGTATGCTGGCAAGACGCAGGTTCCGGTCGCAGGTCACCCGGACCCGGTTCCAACGTGGTCGGGCTGGCATGCGATAATGTGATGTTGTTTTGCTCGTCTCTGTGTTCCACACTTGATGATATTTGTGAATCTAACCCACATGTACAGTATTTTTGTTTGTTTGCGGCCGATGGCCTTGTAAGTTGTAACCGTGGCAATACAGTTTTTCCTGCTATAATTCTCCAATATTCAAGGGTGGGTGGATGTCTCTGTATTCACGTATTCCCTTCTCGCAGTACAGTCAGAGAATATCAATTACAGTATTCATACGGATTATTCAAGCCTTGTATAATTATTTGAGGTGTGCCGAATCCGAAAGACCGATAAAACTACTAGCGGAAAATGTGACATGATGCCATGGGTTTGTGAAAAGTTAAGGTACCACGTAGCATTCAACTTCCTGCATTTCTGTTTCAACTCAGTTTAACGTATTTCAACGAACATAACATCAAAAATGGCAGCCAGTACCGGCTTCACCTGTCACGGAGAACGCTCAAAAAATTGAGTGTAGATGCTGGCCGGCACTCAATTTTTTGAGCGCCAGCTGACTGTCGTCTGTCGTGGCGCTCAATTTATTGAGTATCGCGGTCCCGAACGACAAGTGGCGCTCAAAGATTTGAGCGTCTTTAAGGCATTTTCTTTCCAAAAACACCGATATAAATTATCACGGTGAGTGTTCGAGAAGAAACCTTGTTGCTCTCTCTTGCCATTGATACCTTATTTGGATACGATATTTGCCGTAGTGTGACGCTAAAGGCATTGTAAAATACCATCGTTTCGCCTATTCCTTCATAATGGGGCCCGCTCAATTTTTTGAGCGCTCAATTTTTTGAGCTTTTCCCCCTTGTGCGTGGGACTGAGCTGGTCATGGAGAAAGCAGCTGGCCACTCACCGGCCACTGGCAGGTAGGCGTGCTCGCCGGCGTGCTGTCGGAGGGCGGCCACGGCCAGCTCCGGGATCGGGAACGGCGACTGGCCAAAGGCAAAGTGCGCGATCTGTCGGCCGCACCTTTGCAGATGCTTCACCTGAAATATACATATCGTCACATTACCATATTGAGTGCCGAAGGGTGAAGCTATGTAGGATTTGTGGCTGTTTTGATAACGTGCGCTGCAACCGCATTCTTTTGAGGTCCCGTGTGGGACCCCAACACATTAATTTGAGGTAATTTTGATGCCTCTATAGTGGAGAGCCTCCAGGCATAGAAGAGTGTGGAGTAAATTGGGGTAAATTGACCAGTGGGGTATATTGGTTGCCCCACGTATAAACTGAGAAAATGTTACCCTATTACGGGTGTCAGACACTGTTAAAGATGCTATGTAATTCTTTAACCCGCGCCCTGCTGGAAGGGGGGGGGGGGTTGAACACCCCCTCCCTGCGGTATATTTTGCGAATATATCAAAAACGACGCGCCGCCGTTTTTGGCATACCTTATCATATACCTTTTCTACATATGCTGTTAAAATTTCAGATCCAGGTCACTTAACCCTCGCCCGTATTGGTGTTTTTCCAGCCGCGAACGTATAAGGGGGGGGGGGGGGGTCCGTTGGACCCCCCGTTGCCGTTTCGCCCCTGATCGAGCTAGAGCTTCGCGGAAAAAACGAGCGTGTTGCCCGTGACGAGAGAAAGCCGATGGTACCCAATTTTAAGGTCCTATGTCATTGGTTGACCTTGCAGGTCAGGTCAATGACCCCAAAGGCGGGAAAATCGGGACCTGTTAGAACGTCGTGAAGTGTGGCTGCTATGGGGTTTTTCGGGGTGCTGATCACGAATATCATGTTAGTTTTGATCACAGATGATGTCTTCATGTATTTAGGCCAGGTCGGGTCAGGTCAGGTCAGGTCAACCAGTAAGGGTATTCGTAGTAGGTGGCAACCGCCTCTGACAGCTTCGTAACATGTTACGAAGGCACCAAAACTACTTCGTAAATGTTCATATGGTTGCTAAATTCGAATTCAGCTTCAAAAACTGGCCTAGAAAGATGTAAAACTTGAAAAAGTGAACCGAGGTCATCAAAGGTCAATGACCTGACCTGACCTTCAGGTGACCTTGACACCCACCCTAATGCATGGGGGCAACATCATATCACATGTTTGAACGCTTGAAACCACGACAAGACTGCAAACGCGCGGCTAATGCGCGCCGACATACGCCGAATCGCGATTCCAGCCAAACATGGTCTCGAAAAGTAGGTCACAGGTCAAAGGTCATTTGGGTCAGGGTCATGAAATTTTCAGGGTAGGTGTGAAATTGATGAACGCAAGGGTATTGAAAGTTTCGTCGCGATCGGCCGCTTTTTACGCGAGTTATTCGCGAAAAACCATGGGGGGGGTCCGTTCGACCCCCCCCCCTATACGGGCGAGGGTTAACCCTCACCCGCGTATGGGGGGGTGCCACCCTCAGGTTGTTTTTCTGCTCTGCACTCAACATGTTTAGAGCTAAAAGCCTGATTTTTCGTACAGCTGCTCCTCTATCCTTTCTTGACGTCCACTAAAAATTTCAAGTTTCTGTGGTTTATGGTTTCGGAGATATGACCCTGTTTTTCAGGTCATGTCATGACCCCAATGACCAATTCTCAACATCTTGCGTTGGCTATGGGCCTTGTGAGCTTTTGACACAGATACAGATACAGATACAGATAGTTTATTCGGAACCTCCATGCAATGGGTGATATAGCTTCCACGTCATATACATAATAAAAAAGTGCATACATCTAAAATACAGTAAAAACCTGCTAACAAGTGGTGAATAAGACTAAAATACTTTTCTTAAAACAAAAACCACACATACACACACAATAGTGCTACTATCTATGATTGGACATAAAAATAAAATATGTTTACCTACAGTCTCTCATTCGGGGGCTGTTCATTCCATTCTCGCGTCGCTCGATACACGAAGCTTCGTCGGGCAAGCTCAGTGCGCACTCTGGGCAGCTGCAGCTGGCCGTCAGCCGTTGCGCGGGTGTGGCGGGAGGACACATCGGAGCGCAGGACGACTCGCTCGCGTAACACCTCGCGGACGCACAGGGGGCGGCGATCAAATGACGCAGTGTGGCGATGTCACGCTCTGTAATCATCTCATCCACCTTGCACCACCCCAGTTCCCGCAGCGCAGGCGTGACATGATCACGGCGGCCCAGACCAGCGACAATGCAAACACCGATGTTTATCGTTTTTTGAATACGCTGCTTTTGGCTGGCGGTACAGCTGCCCCAGACGGTCAAACAGCAACGCAGGTGCGGTAAGACAATGGCCTCAGTTAAAAGACGCCTGGTGCACCTCGGTAATTTGCGCCGCGCCCTAGCCAATCCCACCAGTACACAGTAGCAACGCCTCACTACCGTGCTGATGTGGTCTACGCAATCCAGGTGCGAGTCAATGGTGACACCCAGCACCTTGACGCTGCCAACCGGTGAAACGTTGTCATTGCCAAATGATACTGAGATGTTTTCATCCAAATTCTGACGCCGTGACTTGAGTGTGACCATTTCGGTTTTTGCTGGGTTTATTTTAAGACGGTTCTGAGTGAACCATGTAAAGGCCTGGCTACACTATGCGTTTTCTTCGTGCGTTTTTTGCGTGTTTGCGTGTTTTGCGTGATATCGTTCTAGAAAAAAGAAGGATATTACGTTTTTGTGATGTTTTTCACCTTAAATTTTAGTTACATAAGAGTTATATTAGCTTTTGTATATAACCAAAGTAAAAATTATATAGTTTATAACTTTTTTCCTAGAACGATATTACGCAAAACACGCAAACCTGCAAAAACGCACGCAGAAAACGCATAGTGTAGCCAGGCCTTAAGTGCTACAGAAAGGGTGTTTTCTATGCGAGATTTTAGAGCCTGAATATTGGTTGGTTGGTCGTAGTGATGTCAATTACAGAAAATCGGAATACCGATACCAAACCAACTACCAACCAAAACCACGGGAAAATACCGAAACCAAACCGACTTGGGAAAATGAGGGAACTACCAACTTTTTACCGATTTCTTAGCCTCTTATACCTTAGTGAGGGCTTATGATACCAACACAATACCAAACACATTACGATTGAAATACTAAATACCAAGTTGGTACCGGTTTGGTATCGGTATACCAAAAAGTTGGTATCCGATTGACATCTTTAGTTGGTCGGCATCGAGGAACTGGGTGTCGTCTGCGTACATTATGAGTTTTCCGCAGGCCCATGTCACTCCACTTTTGATGACATCATAAGGGGGCCTCAGGACAATAATGGCGCGGTGCGCCACAATCGCTTTAAAGGGAGATTATGAGCTTTCTTTTTTCTTAAATAAAAATTACTCGACATCTATACTATTTCTACTGTAGTTTCTATAAAATATGAAAATTTCCTAGCACATTTTCGTATGTGAAAAAGGTTTTTATTTTTGCAAAAAAGAAGCAGTACTTGCAGTACTTGTAACACCCACCGAAATGCGTTGTCCTTCTCTATAAAAAAGTCGCAGTATATGGCGCTTTTGTTTCAAACAGCGACGCTTGGGTTTTTGTTTATGTTATCGCCTTGTCGTTGCTTGGTTGTAAGGATTCTAATTTGAATTAGAGTCAATTCGATTTAGAATTAATTAGATTCTAATTCGGGGGTACATAGTGCCTACTCTTCTTTGTTTCCAAGTATTATTTTGCGCCACAAATGAACGGCATGCGCCAGAATCGCAGCCAAATCTTGCGATTGCGACTACGAAATTCATTATTTTGGCCTCAGAGCCTGAAGCGAAAAATACAAGCATATTTATTTCAAAAAGACTTCAGGTTTGTCGAACGGTGTTATGATAATTTTGATAACAGTACTGCATAAGTTTTTCAGTGATGCCGCAAAAGTGTTGTATCTATCTTCTTTTATTGTGCAGTCGGCGGGACCGATTCAAAATTGAGTCGTTGCTACTAAAATAGCAGCATATGGCGACAGATGATGAACAGGAAAAATAGTTGCGTAAATTTAGACATAAACCACCCCCAAACCATGAATATCTTTTGAAGGCACTATAGACGACCATTAACTAACTAGATGTGATGAAGATCAAATGTAATGAATACGCTCATTTTACAAAATTACATGCAAGTACCAAAAAGTGATGTAAGTACTTATTCAACGGTCATTTTCAGCGCTCCCCGCTAACGTGACTTCAAGTTGAGATATTTGCGGCAAGGTACCGAATTGAGCAAAATGGTTTTAATTTACATTATAACTTGTTGTGTTTTGTCAGAAAATGGTCCTAACTCAGATTTTGTGGAAAAAGGTCATAATCTCCCTTTAAAGCTACTTGCCAACAGTTGCCATTTTTGAAAATATTATTTTGAAATAAAGTTACAAGTAATAAAAATATTGTAATAAAGTTGTTGATTAAATCGATACCATTTCTAAAGACTTACTGAAAAATGATTTATTCATAGTAAAAATATAAGCTCGATGCGTTTTTACGTTGCTTTCCTGCAACTGCAGGGGATTTTTAAATCGTGTATATCTTCAAAACCGGCCATTTCTTAGCATATTGCTGCTCTTTTTTATCGCTAGAAAATTAGTTGGACTTTCCAATGACATCAACGGTTGAGCGATATGTTAACAGTGTCACCAACAATTTTCAAATGAAATTAGTCGTTTTTACGTTGTAAAGGAATGGAGCACCCCTTGCGAGCATCAGGGGTGACATCACTCAGGATCTGTCTCTGATTGGTCGGCGGGAGAGTGACTGTACCTCAGGCACGTATCCAGGATTTCGCTCAGGGGGGGCGACAGCCGAGAAGGGCCCGGAGGTCAGCCAAAAGGGGCCCCACAGCGACTGCCTATCCTGGCGTGTAAAAATTCGAGAATGTCGAAAAAACAGCAAATTTACGATAGAATTTGGCATTGTAAATGAAAATGCATTGTCTTGCGTTTCTCGACCTTGATAACATGTTTGCAGTTAGCTTCCGTTGAAGTTCGTTTTTGCAGTTCACTTCCGTTGAAGTTCGTTAACCCGCGCCCGGCCGGGGGGGGGGGGGCTGTTTGAACACCTCCTCCTT